TTCTCCTTGGATTAAAAACTCAACTAGCATATTCATAATAAAACACATTCCATGCATAATATATTTATATATACTGTTACAGAACCCATAAAGCATTAGAGTGCTTCAACATCTAATTATTTTAACAATGCAGTGAATGAAACATAATTTACATGACAAGGGATTTTCCTATAAAAATATCAAGCAGGTTCTATTACATAATGTATGGACATTTTCCCCTCAGTCTACTTGTAATTTAAAATTCTGCAAATGATAATATGCTGTAACAGGGTAGGGTGTGCCAGTTAAGTTCTAGTGTGACATTTTATTTGAACTAGTCTGCACTTAAATTGGATAAAGTTACATGTATGTGTGTAGTTAGTTGCTCAGTTATATAGTGTTTGTTTTCTTTTTTTAATCCTCACCTGAGGATATGTTTATTGATAGGAGAGAGAGGGAGGGAGGGGGAGAGAGAGAGAGAGAGAGAAATCATTTGCCTCCTGTTGGTGCCCTGACTGGGGATCGAACCAGCAACCTTTTGGTTCAGGGGCCCATGTTCCAACCAACTGGGCCACCTGGCCAGGGCTATAAGGTTTTGCTTTTTAACAAACTTAATAAGTAAATACTAAAGAGAAAAAGAGTACTGTCTGGCAGCCTATATTCAGTCCAGTTTTATTATTTTCTCTTGTAGAAAGTGTAGACATGTGTGCCCTTTGTTGCAAGCACACCTCAGCATCAATTAGTATTTATTGCCCTACCCTGTGTCCAGAGCACATCACAAAATTACTGTGTACTTTATTTGAAAACAGAATGTAGCGGAAGTTCTCAGTTGAGCATTAAAATATCCAAGGGAAGAAAACGGATAGACACTTTAACCTTTGATTAGGTTTATATATTTCATCAACCATAGTCATTTACATAAATGGACGAGGTTTATTTGAAACCCTCCAAATGTGGATAACCTTGAAAAAAAGAAAGGCCATTTGGATTCAATGAAGGAAAAGAGAGAAAAAGAGGTAAGAGAGACGAAGAAAAAATGATTCTGATATTGAAGGAAAGTTGCTTTTCCCTGAAGAGGTCCATGTTACAAAGGTATCATTTTATTAATTTTATTAATTATCAAAAAGTTATTATACTCATTGTATACTTATGGTGAGAGTGTAAATACCTATTCTAGTAAGAATTCTGAAAATATGTAGCAATAAACTTAAAATTACTTCCTTTTACCCAGTATTTTTTTAGGAGTCAGCCATATTAAAATAATATGACCGATTTATAATAAAGTTAGAAAAATCAAAACTTCAACAACCATATATGAAATTATGACATTCACATAGATATCATGTAGCCATTAAAAGGGTATTTTCTGAGAATATTTAAGGAGAACAGAATGGTTTTGACAATGTAAAGTGTAAGAAACAGGGTTCTTTTCTGTATTCCACCAAATTTCTACGATTAACTAGTATACTTATTTTTTAAAGCAAAAACCAAAATTTAAATACATTTATACCTGTATCTGGATATATAATGATAATTTTTAGTAAAGTCTAGGTTTTAAAATAGTATGTGCCTCATTAGGTCAAGGGTGGGATGGATTTCTACTCTTCAAAATGATAAATATAACAAGCTCAATTCTGGAAGGCTCTGGAAATGGGCTCCTGGCCATAGCAAAAAGGCCACATTTCTGACAGACATTCTCAGTCTCAAACTCAGCATGGCAATGCTGTCTGTCTTATGAGTCCCCAAACTACAGCTGCCTGAAAGGACTAAGTGAGGCTCACCTCCTGGATAGAAGTTCAGAACTGCACAGTGTGATTTCTGAGCCTTTTGCCCAAGAAAGTGCTGTCCATATATTTACTGATTCCTAAAAGTTATTTTAAGAGTACAAAATTCCTTTTCTTTCACATTAGAAATGACACAGAAATGCCAGTTAAAATGTAAATGTTATTCTATTGAACCACATATTGACTGAAATTCAAAACCATAATTTACATATTTTATATAAATCTAGTCACCAATTTAATTTTTCCCTAAGTACTTTGCTTTTGTGTGTGTCTTGCTTTCTGTGCTGAAATAGGTTAAAGTGATCATGATCAGAATGCTTCCAGTTTTGAGAAGATGACAGAATTGAAAGAAAAGGAGGGCACAAGGAATATTGAAAGGGAAAGTAGGCATGGCCAGCAAATAGGGAAAGAAGAGTTTGGAAGCGAAGACAAATCCATGCATTTCATTATTTTGTCTGTCTTTATAAATGTATTTTATGTATTTGAAGACAAACTGGAGAACTGATGGATTTGCAATTACCAAGGTCAAGTAGTTGTGGGTGTAACTTTGCCAGGGCGCTCAAGTTAGGTCATCAGACCTACCACTTTATATAATTTCTAATGACTTTTCTTAGACTATAACTCATATGACAGTTTTATTATCCTCTGAAATCAAGGTTGAGTCAGTTTAGGACAAGGTTGAGCCAGACCCCTGAGTTCTTGGCTTTAAACCTCATTTGGAGATTCAAGGTTCTCATAAGCATAGGTGCCATTTACAGGTTCCATGTCCCTGGTCCTGTCCACAGTCTTTACTCCCACCCATGAGTCTTCATTCAGCCCCCTTTCTTATGACATGATACCACATTTTGAGACTGTTGGAATTGACATCTTTTTCAAGTCTAGAAAGAGCAAACATTAAATCTCCAAGGAGGTGAAAATTCAGAGACCTCATGTTCCTCTTGGCAATGGCAATAAAGGAATCATAATATTTCCTAGAGCATTTTAATAACAGCCATGACCAGGCATCTTGAATCTTTTTTGTCCTCAATATTATTTCCTATTTCCACATATTCTGTGTGATCAGCTGTTCACCTACTCCAATAAAATTGCAGTAACAACACTAGAAAGGTAGTTAGTTATTTCAAATCAACTGGTACTCAGAAACTCAAGGATTAAGGTTAAATAATTATGGTATCCACTGAGAACTGGAATCAAAAAATAAAATAAAACAAAACAAAAGTTGTAGAAATGAATCCAAATCCCTGGTTGACACCTCTAGTTTACCTGGTGTTTACAGAGAACTAGCATTCCTTTTGGCAGTGACAATAAAGGAATGAGAGTGTGTCCTGGAGCATTTTGATAGCAGCCATGCCCATTTATTCCAATGAATATCCAATCAGCCCTTCCAATTTGCATAAGAATTTCCCTATTTTCAAATTGATTGGATTAGTCTTTATAATTTTGGTGCACAAAAAGTAATTTTAAAAGGAAATCTTTAAAATTATTTATTTCATTTTGTAAAATATTTTAGTTGGAAGTAGAGAATAATCTGATGTATTATAACTTCAGGGACAATATCAGGAAACCCAACAGGCAGCCAACAATCATGAAATATTATTGTAATTATATTGTCAAGTAAAAAGGTACAATGAATTTCATTGTCACTATGTTCATCACTGACGAGTGGTACCATGAACAAATCCTCCTTGGCCAAAGATTTTATAGTTTTGAATGACTCCTTAGAAGTGCATCTCCCTAGGAGTTATTGAAAGGTCTGTATGACCATGGCCACCTATGAGAATTTATATTTCAAAATGTTTTTGGAAAATAACAATCAAATATAATATATATCAATATATCTTAGCATGAGTAAAGAATGTGACACAGTTTTAATATATCTCCTTGTTTCATATACAGCATCACTTTAATTCTGCTTGTAGTCTTCCATCTCAAAATAAGAATTTATAATACTATTTTACTTGCATGTTAATACCCTGACTTGTATAAATCCAGCACATGTTCATTCCTCAAGGTTAGTTAGTATGTGTATTTCCTATGTTAGAAATCCATTGAGTAAAATCATTTTAGAAGTTCATGACCATCATCATATTTTGGCCCTATAACTTTGCATATGCTATTGGTAAAGATAATTACATCTGTAATCTTCATTTTGAAGATGATTTACAATTTTTTTAATTTTTTTAAAATTTTATTTAGTTATTTTTCAAGTACAGTTTTTTGTCTATTTTTCCCATCCCAGCCTCCCCCGCCCCTTTGATTTACAATTTTAATCCAAATTCTTACTCTAAGAATAGTAATGGCACTAGTAACTTAAGGGATGGTCTGTCAATTCTTTTGTAGCTGTATACAATAAATGCATCTCTACTCTCAATGGTCAATGTAGAAAAAGTTCCTTAACTAACAAGAATATATGGTTAAGTCCAGACTTTTGGTAATCTTTTATATTAAACCACAAAAACAAGCAATTTTCTGCTGAAGTTGATATATACATGCATACTATATTTCAAATATAAATAAGAACTAAAATAATATAATTATATGTGCTATATATATTTATAATTAAGATGGGAGAGTTTTCATAATATAGTATGATTGAATATATCAAACACAAAAATTATAGACTAAACTCTATGATAGTTATGTTAGAATTTTGATTTGTGGACAACTGGATACATTTATCAAATTATGTCCTTTCCACCTTCTTATGTCCCAAGCCTATCAGTCCTTTAACCAAAAGCTACTCACTCATATTTTGTTAATATATTAACCATAACTTAATTACCATAAATAATATCCACTATATTTGATTAATATAAATGATTTAACTGTAATGATAACATTTGTTTTTATGAATGTGAACATTTTCCCCCAATTTTCAAAAACCATATTTTAGTGTATTTAATAATAGATAAGTCCAACAGTTCTATAGTGTCTGCTTTAAAACCAATTCAAGCTTCATAAAATGACAACATAACACCATCAGTAAAACTTTCAGCCCATCTCATTTCCCAACAAACATCTAAATGACACATGAGATTTCACATCCATATGTCCAGCTTTGTCTTAATGCATGCACTGCAAGGATAGGATGGTCCACATGTGCTGGTATTTTCTACTTTTTCTTCCTTTCAATACACACAGGAAGGGCTCAGAGTGTTACTTCAGGTTACAGTTGAGCCTTATTGACAGAATGTATACTGAGAAAAGTGTACTGACTGGAATTAAGGAATCACTCACCCAGCTGAGTCTCCTGAATTGTCAGTTTGCTTTCCACAGGATACAAAAGCTTGGGTGGCTTATCAGTCAGAGGAGCTGGAAAAATAATAATACCAACTATTGTTAGCTGTGTGAACTGAGGGATAGAACACAGTTTATTTTCTTAAATATTTTTCCCTCTCAGTGGTGTGTCAAAGCATTCTGCTAAGTAATGACTCACATATTGCAGGCAGTACCTTCAGGCAAACTGAAGAGCTGTTAGATTGTATGCAAGTCCAATGTGACACTTCCAAATTGACAGTCACATGAGACTGTTTATGTACCAAATCCAGATTGGTCAGTCTTTAAGAACATATGACTGTGTTTTACAATCTCTTTTCAATTTGTACATTCTTTTTCCTGTTTAAAGCATACCTTACATTTACTGTGTTAATTAAAGCTACACGTGACACATGTACCAGTCATTTCAATGACTTTTTTTGGCATAATGTTGCCTCATTCTTCTTATTCCCATTCCCAATTTCCACACCCTGGACGACACTGCCTCAAAACCCATAACTTCAGAATTAGACTATTTCTTACACACACGCTCTATAAATGGGATAGCGATATGACATTAAAGTAGTATCAATGTGAGATGCACATTCACATATGCATACAATTATTCACCAAAGTCATCTTTAAATGATAGTTTCCATTTAGTCAAAACCTCTTATTAGCATTATCTGTTACATTTTATCACATTTATTACTGATTTGCATGATACACTCTTTGATTTTTAAATTTCCATACATTTCTACTCTGTACACCCATCAACTCATCAATTATCATACTACATATCTAACAGTTTCCTATTAAGCATCTTGAAAATAGTTTTCCCACTGCATATTGCATTCCTAGCTAAACTAGACTATCTGGACCTTAGACAAATAGCCTGTTCTCCTTCATTAAGCCTCCCTCCCCACCCTCGCTGATTGAAATGCCAAGGTCCCTTGAAATCTGTCACTGCAACTTTCACTCTGTAGCAAGTACAGAAGTGATCATTTAAGGGCTGCTGAACTAAATGTTTCTGCTTTGAGGCTTTCCTTCCTTCCTTGCCAGGAGGACATGCCAGTTGGTTGATAACTGGAAGGCTAATCTAGTCAGCAGTGCCCAGACTTGGCCACATGTCCTCATCACCAGAGGATTCAAGAATTAAATCTGCCTCAGCCACTCACTCCCATTTCTCAGTAAGAGAAAACACAGTCAGTGCAAATGGATGATGCATCCCAACTCAGAAAACCAGGATGAGTTTTAAGACTCCTGGTTTGGAAGACCAACCACATGCAGGATCGATCGCTTCTGTTCATAACGAATTGAATGTATTATTCATTCATCTTTGTTAATATTTAACACAGGGATGGGGATGAAAGGGAAGGAAAATTTAGGTTGAGAGGATATCAATTACTGTGAAATTCTTGTCAAAGATTTAACATCACTCTAATTCAGCTTAAATACTCTTATTTCCTACCTACACTGATATTAACAGATTTTTATTCACCTACCAGCTAAATAAGTAGATTATTCACTAAATGTTGGCAAAATAGTTCACCATTAGTAGGTCAAAATGCCACATTCCTTGGGTTCTGGTTATCAAATGCTTTCAATGAACTTGAAAACCAACTATGGTATCAAAATAAGGGGCTTATTCAGCAAATTAACTCAGTTCACAAAATCTTATAATTATACAGTTTCAAGTAGACAACTCAACAGTTTGTTACAGAAAGCAGCTGAAAGAACTGTTCCTGTTCAAACACATCTGGTGCTAATTTATAGTAAGAGAAGAGATCTTTTGAGAAAGATAATAAACTCCTATGGAGCACATGCATTCGGAAGCAGAAAATGTTCCTGTTCTTCTCTGCCCCGACCCCACCATCCATGCCCATGACACAGTGTTACCTCCTTAACACCTTTCATAGAACTCTCAGGTGACAACTCCAGTCAGCAGAGGAATTGTACAATGTCGGAGCCAGAAAAAATGATATGCTTATTAAAAAATGTGTTCCCTAAGGTCCTGATTTCCACAGAGCCCCCCTGAGCAGATGAAGTGAAGACAGAGAGAAGGGGTGGTCCATGGGGCTTGACTCCATGTACCCCTCTCTGACAAAGTAGCTCTGCCTTTTATTTGTTAGATGTCAGCACTTCACCCAAGATTTTAACCAAAATAAATGAATGAATGGATGAATGTATGAATGGATAAAGAAGATGTGGTATGTATATGTATACATATGCACACACACAATGAAACAGTACTCAGCAGTACAAAAATAAAATAATATAAAATCCTGCCATTTGTGACAATGTGTATGGACATTTTGTGACAATGTGTATTTCATTTATATGTGAAAGTTTTTAAAGATTTAATTTCTTTATTTTTAGAGAGAGGGGAAGGGAGGGAGAAAGAGAGAAACATCAATGTGCGGTTGCCTCCTATGTACCCCCCCTAACTTGGGACCTGGCCTGCAACATAGGCCTGTGCTTTGATTGGGAATTGAACTGGAGACCCTTTGGTTCTCAGCTGATGCTCAATCCCCTGAGCCACACCAGCCAGAGCTATATGTGAAATAAAAAAAAAAATCAAAACAAATGAACAAACAAAACAAAAAGAGACTCATAGAAAAAAAAAAAGAAACTAATGGTTACCAGAGAGAGGAGGGTGGAGAGATGAGTGAAAAGGGGAAAAAGAATATAGTTAATAAGTATGATAACTTTGTATGGTGACAGATGCTTACTGGTCTTAGTGTGGTGATCACATTGTAAGAAATATAAATGTCAAACAACTATGTTGTATACTTGAATCTCATATAATATTATATGCCAACTATAGTTTAATAAAAAATTTTAAAATTAATTCAACTGATGTATACTGAACACTATAATGTGCTATGCATTGTGATGGGGGATTGGCATAGCTTGGTTTCTGCCCTTATGCCTTACACTCATCAAAAGTAAAAAATAAAAATAAAAGTAAAAGATTCTGAGATTATTGATTTCCCTTGTTTTAGAGATCAAGAATTCACAGTACGACTAGAACAACTGATTTGCCAAAGGCAACTGAGCAAATTCAAGTTAGAGGCCTTGCTAGATCCTTGTCTCTGAATTCTTTGTCATCTGCTCCTTGAAAATTCTGTCAAGCAACTACTGTAGCTCTTAACAAATTGTTAGGAGAGCAAAAACATGCAACTAAATAACCATAACCTATATAGAGTGCTTTTACTGTATAACTTGTCATCTATAAATGTCATGTTTTAATATTATGCTATGACAGGTATCAGGCATGTTTCTCATGTGATTCACCTGTCTTTGATAAAAGTCAACAGAAACTACCAGATGTGACACACTGGCACTATGACTGTGAAAGCGGTTACCATTAAAGCTAAGATGTAGCTCAGCTCCACGATCTATTGAAGGTGCGAAATTTTGCTGCCACCAAGACAGTGCATGTGCTCCATGATCCATTATTTGAATGTTTCTGATACTTTATGGTGTTTCCTAATTATTAATTGAATCAAATTTACAGAAGACAGAACTAGAAAATACAGAAATGGCAATGACCAAACAAAATCAACACACACCAACAAAAGTCCCCTTTATTTTCTTCATGGGCAAAAGTGGGACTGGAGGGAAATTCAAACAAATTACAATAAAAAATAATTAGCAGCAGACCATGACAGGACCAACTCCCTCTCTCTCTCTCCCTCCCTCTCTCTCTCTGTCTCCTCCCACTCTCATACACACACAAAGACACACATACACACTCACCGACTAAATTGAAATCATTGAAAAACTAAAGACAATCCAACAGCTAGTGACAGGGAGCACAGGTTGATTTTAAATACTAATCATGTTCTGTCTAACAAGAAAAAACCCACAACAATTATAATAGAGATGTTACTCTTGCTAGTTATGTGTTTAAATAATTCTACATATCCACCATCCAAAGCATTCCTCAGCTCTCAGAATATCCTCTTGGTAACAGTAAAGCTGATATAATTATTGAAAATAAAAACAGAGCACTATTACAGAGTTATAAATATGTGCTGTTTGACGAAAGTGTTCTGCAGAGAAGTGGCATTTTAGGACATTTGTTTTGCTTGCCAGCTACCAGTTGGAGACATATCTAGAAGTGGGTATACATGAAGTTGTGTACAAGACTGATTTTGCATGTTAAGGTTGCCTGACTAATCATAAAGGAATGCAGTCTTTCCTTTACCCCCATTCCTTATACACTTGGGTTATGAAACAGTGAAATATAAGGTTCCCATCTTCCAAAAACAAGGGACAATGGACCAGGGTAATGGGGCCAGTAGTTTTGAAGTTTTCTGATGTTTTTAAGTAGAAGAGAAATTAAGAACAAACTGACAGTAACCAGAGGGGAGGTGGGAGGGGGTAATGGAGGGGAAAGGGGGAAGGGCTTTCAGGAACAACTATAAAGAACACATGGACAAAACCGAGTGGGGTGGGATCAGGGTGGGAAGTAGGAATGGCTGGGATGGGGGAAAAATGGAGACAACTGTGATTGAACAATAAAAATAAATAAATAAAAGATACAAAATCAAATGAGAAAAACAACTCAAAGAGTAAACCAAAATGACATTATCTTTTAAAAAAGAAGAGAATGTGAGATATTTAAAATGAAACTACATTTTTCTGTTGACCAGCCATCACTAAAATCTAATTTAGTCCCTTAAATACTAATCCCTCAAATACTATTGAGAATATGCAATGCTTCTTGGATACCTATCATGATACTACCACGGATTTACTCTTTTAAAGTCATAGATAATTTTCAGAATGTATTTTAAATAATACATTCTCTGCTTTGTTTCTTAGAAGCATTATATGATAGAGAATGAAAGATCATGTGCTTTATTTTCAGGGAGATATGGGGGTAATAATTCCCGAATTTGCCTTATTGGTTTGGCAAGTTGGAGAAGTTATTTAAACTCTCCTAGTCTGTCTGTCTGTCTGTCTGTCTCTGTCTCTCTCTGTCTCTCTGTCTCTCTCTCTGTCTCTCTCTGTCTCTCTCTCTGTCTCTCTGTCTCTCTCTGTCTCTC